TGGTTTTGGGTCAGGTCACGTCAGGTCGGGGAGTTTGCACTGATACAGCATGTTGTCGCACCCACCACATATCAAAACACCTCGGGATCCCCCCCAGGCCAACACGCTGTTTAGTTCCCCCCTCCGGAAAAAGCCGTCTATCTGCCGCAGCCAGGTGTTCTGTGGGCGTCCCCTCGGCCTGGTCGTGGGTGGCATTTAAAGATTCGCGGAGACCCCAGCGGGGCCGTTCCAAAGACGAATCTACTCAGACGGGGACGTGGCATCCGATCAGTCACCGGCTCACAATCAGCAGCATGTGGACCTTAATATTGAAACTGTGTTTGTTGGTCTTTCAGGTTGTACCCGAATATTTTGATATATTTGTCATTATCTCTGTGATGCTTGCCTGTGCAGTCTTGAGTTCTGTGTGGTGCTGTTTAATAATAAAACAAATTACAAGAAAGAATAATTTTACAAAATACGGACATCAGCCTTGGTAACACTTTCTATGAATGTCTATAAGAATCTATGAACGTATTCATAACACATTTTAATACATTCATAAAGCATTATGAATATAGCTATAAATACACTATAACCATGTTTATAATACTTCATTAATTCTTATACTGGCTATTATAACGCATTATGAAGGTATTTATAATGCATTATACTATGAGAGCTTGAAGTGAAATGCTACCTCAGCCATTTTTGGTCACCAAAGGATATGCGTGTATGGGCCGCTGTCACCGTTAACCATAGCTGAGAAACAGACTTTCACTTCTCCATGCCACTGTCTTTCAGCAGCAGATAAATCCCTCCCTTGAGATCATATATATTGATTAAAGAGGAATTTGCGGAGTTGTTTCAGCACTCTGGCTGGGGTCGGCTGTGATTGGGCGGTTCCCGGCAGCTCGGAGGCCAACGGCGTCACTCATTAACATATAAATAAGTTTGCGGGGTTGGCAGCGAGGGCGGGGATCCTTTTCTTGCCCTCGAGACGCTCCCCCCCCCCCGTGGCTTAAAAACCCTCGCCGAGCGTGAGCTGCTCCCGCTGCCACTGCCCACCTTTCACAGCAAAATGGGACAATGGTGGGAGGGACTTAAATTATCAAAAGAAAAATGACAGACCGATGTAGCATGAACTATCATGTATTCCTGAGGCCTCTCAGCTGAACCAGAACATTCCCTCGATTTTAATGTGATATACCCAGGCAATAGTCACCTAAAAAGGGATTTAATCATGCAGTGTATGCCGTGTTTCACCCGCACTCATGTGGCTCGTCGCCAGTGTGGTGCATTCTGGCTTCGCCAGTATCTTTGAAACATATGTAGCTGGAGCCAGGGGCGATTCTAGCCAAATTTAGCATCAGCCAATGATGTGTTTCAAATTGGTGAGTGACAGGGAAGGCACTCCAGGGGCTAATCCGCTGGGGCCAGTGTTCCTTTGGCCCCGCCCCCGAAATCATACAGCATTGTCTGGAGCCGCATAGTGAGTCATTTCACTGTGTTGGTTTGATATCGATTCCCACCCCGGTTCGGTTCTGCTCACCATCACCAGCGTTTTGAGCGAGTGCACGACCAAGAGTTCATTTGCCGTGACTTTGTGAGCATTAAGTCCAAATTGGATTAGCGGCTGATCCTTTGCTGATTGCTCCGGATGTGATTGTTATGGTGCCCCGTTTCCGGGTAACACTCTCACAGCGGTACTGAAATCCGTCTCTTATGGGCTTGATTGGTTCGGGGTGGGGTGGGGGGGGTTGGGTGATAATTAATTGTGTAATATCAAGCAGAAGAACACAGGAAACAAAAATAATCTGTGTGTATGTATTTAGTCTCACATTATCTTGTCTGTAACCAGTATATGTAATATTTTGTGTACAAGATTTTTATATTGTCACATTTGAGGATACACATGCAGAAGCGATGATGAAATATTCATCTTCTAACCTCTTAGCATTTTCAGGCTCATAGATGATAAAAATATATATTGAACCAAAGTAGTGGCCAAAAGAAATGAAGTTTTTCATATGAGAGACTCTACTGGCTCTTTGCCCTGCGATGGACTGGTATCCTGTACAGAGGGTATCCTGCTCCATGCCATGGATGGATTGATTGATGGTTGGATGGATGGATGGCATAGAGATGGTTCCTGTGCAAAGCTTGGGCCACCTTGACAGGTGCTGATAAGGCCACATGACCTGACACAGCGCAGAGCACGTGAGGTAACGTGCACATTTAGCAATTACAGGCATTCAAACAGGAAGCTTTCTTACTGATTTAGATTAACTTATAATGATAAGCTATTATAAGTTAATTAAATTAGCAATTTAAAGCTGTGCGTGTTTGCGTTTAGCTTGTGTCTGTTTGTGTGTAAAATATATATATATATATAGTTGTCAGAGGCAGAGAGATGGGGGCGACGCTGGGGAGGCCGGGAAGGCCCAGGCTGCTTCCTTGGGCTTGGGGGGGGGGGGGGGCTCAGGGGCTGTGCAGGGAGACAGCTGTTCTAGAAGGAGGATGGTGAAAATACAGGAAGAGCCACCACAGCCGGGCCTAGGGGGCGCTGTTTGGACTGCCCCTCTCTTCAGATAATCCAGTCGTGTGCCCTACCTGTCAGCGGGCCGTGGCACATCCTCCTGATGGGCATTAAGTAGCGGCGCTGTCCGGATGTGTGGTGCTGAAAGGCAGCTTCTGGACGGCTGCCAAGTCGGCTGTGCTGTCACAGTGTATATATACAGTATGTAGACAGTAAAAATATATATATATATTTATATATATATATATATATATGTATGTGTGCATGTACGTGTTTGTGTCTGTGTGTGCGTGTCTGTGTGTGTGTGTGTGCGTGTGTGTGTGTGTGCATGTGTACTGTATATTAAATCAGTGAATGAATTCTGCTGCAGTACCTTTCTGTTTGTTGTTTGTGGAGTATGAGCAATACTGTATAACATTAGATTCCTGTTGGTGTTCCACATAAAACACAGGAAACACTCTAAAGCATGTTTTTGCATGCGCACACACCCCCTTCCTGGCTGAGCCTGATGCGTGATATTGGGCCCCCCTGTTTCGGAGTGGCGGTCGGTGAGTCTCGCTGGGATGCGAGTCGCATCCACAGCCCGTTTCATTCTCCCTGGGCTGTGATCCTTGGTCAGTGGGGCTTAGGGGACCCCGCCCCCCGCGCTTATTAGCCGGCTCCCCAGTCAGGGCAGACTCTGTTCTGCCATCGGTTTCGCTTTAATATCCGATGACAGAAGGTCGATTCTCTCTATGTCTTTAGGCAGTGAGTCTGTCGTCCATTCGCCTTTAATCCCAGCAGCCAGGGCTGCCAGTGGAAAATTGGACCCCAAATCTTTTTTTAAATCAGACTTTTAGTGAAGACGATTTTCTTATCGTCAAATTCATGCCAATATCATGAATATCATGCTGCATCATCATCTCTGTCCCGGACAGCACTGTTTAGTATAACGAGCAGCCCTCGTTAAGGGCTAATTGATGGGACCCCAGCCCAGCAAGGCCAAACCGGCAGGTGACGAGTGACAGGAAAGCAGGCAAAGGCCCAGGCAGAGCAGAATGTCAGCCACCTCAGAGCCTTCCAGTCGATGGCTGAGGCTTCAGCGGCTGCCGGTTCAGGGGGTCTCCTCAGGTCTTTCTTGCTCCTCCCCATCCATCCTTGCCGTTTTGTGCCTTGCTGCAGTTGTGGCAGCCTCCCAGTGCAGACAGCTCATGTTTGCCTATTAATTGCACTCTCCAGGTACGTTTCTGTCTCCATCCGTGTGAACGCCACTGCACACCGGCTGGTTTATTTATAAAGCTGTCAGTGGATGATCGGTCCTGCGTTCCTTCCGCTTTTGTTGCGCCGGCACTCGCGTGTGCGCAGGCAGCCGGGGAGCCGTTTGCCACAACATTAGAAAGCTCCAGGCATGGCACCTCCGCTCCGATCGACCATCCATTATTCGGAGTTTGATTACTCCCGCCTGGCTTCTCACAAGTACCGCAAACTAAAAAGCCCGCAAGGAGAAATGGGAAGGGCGCTGCGCTAATGGCGTCCGCCAAGAGCCGCGCGGCCCGCTGCCACATGTAGACCATGCTGATACGCGTGTTGAAACAATGACACGCCGAATCATCTCTGTCTGTTAGGCCGAAGGGTGCTGCTTGATCTGAAGCACGGAGAGCCGGTTTGATCCCTGTCTCTCCTGGTGTGTTTGATGCATGCACCGCTCAATGTGACTCCGCCCCCTGCTTCCCAGCTGATATTGACATCGTAATAACACCTCGTCGGGCAGACGGGACGGCAAAATCTCCCGCGGTCTCTGGATCCCTCATTTGATTCCACTGGCAAAAAAGCAGACGGTTATGGCCCCAGTGCATTATGGGTCATCAAATCTCTGCTTTATCGTTAACCGGTATTAAGATTTCGGGTGATTTACCGTTGGTTCTGCAAACAACCGGGTCAGCAGCAGCAGCGTTGCTAGTGAGGATTAGCCTTGTATGTTTTATGTATGATGCACAATGTGGTTTTCTTGTCATGAAACCCTAAATTCAGAACTGCGATGGACACAGAACTAATGTGTTTCAAATGAAGCACCTTTGCTACTTAAAAATAAACAGTAAAGGTATCATGTGATATTTGTTTGGTTACGATTGGTTAAGGTTAGGGCTGGGGAGGGGTTAAGGTTGTCAGAGTTAGGATTGGGGTTATGCTCATATTAATGAATGCAGTGTGCCCATAAAGATATGAACACACACGTGTGTGTCTGTGTGTGTGTGCGTGTGTGTGAGAGATGGGTGGGGGGCGGTTGTCCCGCCTGAGAGGTCTGACCGCCCCCACAATGCATCACTCCCCACGTGTCGGCCGCCGGTTTGCAGACGGCGACCAGACGCACTCGACGCGTGTGCATTCACATGTAGGAGAGTGTGACTCACGCCTCCCCGGCACGGTCACCAAGATGGGGGGCCACAGTCACCAGACCCACCCCCCACTCAGCGTCCTCCCTCTCTGTTCTCTCCTCTCACAGAGACGAAGGCGGACCTGGAGCAGCTGATGACCGACATCAAGAAGCTGGCCAACAAAGTCCGCTCCAAGTTAAAGAGTGAGTCGTGCGTGAGCATCATCTGCCCGCCAGCCGCTTTCGCGTGGACGTGTAGCGGCAGACGGGAACTTGCCGTTTTGAAAATTTAGTGCCCCTATAATGTCCGATTCAACATGAAACCCTTTTGAGCAGCAGTTAGTGGTACAAAGCAGCCTTTCATTATTCAGTAGCTTAAGCAGGTTTAGTGATTAACCTTCTCCGGTGAAATGGAAAAGTCGGAAGTGATTTACACTGATTTTTCAGTGTCACACTACATATTGTTCACCTGTGCGACCACAGTGTCTGTGTTTTTTTTATTTTGTTTTATTTTATTTTAGTTCAGTGGCTAACGTGATATAAGTACAGTTTTCCAGTAATGTAACCTTGTTCCTCCTCTTCATTTCTTCCTGGAGTTACATCTGGTACTCGCTCCTCTGAACAGAACAAAGCCACGTAGCTTCAGTGCCGTAGTCAGAGCTGGCTGTCTCGCTGCGCATGTCGCCGTGGAGACGGACTCCCCTGTACTATCCCGCCATCTGACCCCGCTGGCTGCTAATGCACCCGTCGCATTCTTTTTCTGCCGCTGCGGCTCCTGTTAGCTCTTAGTTCTCGCTGTGCCCGGAAAGCCGAGATTTGGCATTGCCTTGCCGTCTAACTGCTTGCCGCTTGTTTTATTCGTGCGTTGTGGTCCCGCCCCCAAACGTTTTCACAAATGCGTCACTTCTGACAGTGACCACCAGCTCTCTATTTTATGCACCTTTTTAAATTTACTCATTAGTGCAACAGTCTTAGGTCCCTCAGGAAAATTACGTATAAAGCTGCTTATCTCGGCAGTAAAAATACGTCCTCATAAAAACAGTATTAGAATTAACATAAACAAACATGAACGCTAAAACAAACAAGAATGTGTTGTGCTTTTCAAACGAATCAATGTTTTGTTTGACCTCACGTAGAAGACAATAATAAGGTAATTCACTTGTGCCCACTGCTGTATATTTTTTTTACAAGAGTTTTAAGATAAATTCCTCCGAGTTTCTTCATACCTGTGTTTGACTTTGTGCACAGCACCCTCAGATTAATAATGTACCCCCTCAGGTGGAAGCCAGTCACTGTATGACTGCGACAGTATTTCAGGGGTCGTGACCCTTCACTAATTTCAGATGCACCCTTAGTGATTTCATTCTGAACCCAACACCGAGCTTCTTGCAGGACTTGCCGTATCTTTTCTTTCGACTTTGGCTGCTTTTGGTTCCTCCTCCTGTCCCAGTGATCTCATCCAGCGTCAGTCACGTTCAGATCAGGACCGTGAGCTGGCCAGATGGCCCGGCCTCTGTGCAACCTTCTTTTGACATACGGGTGCCTTTGCCAACCAGAAATTTCTACCTTGGAGCTCATTGTTCCATAAGATCCAGCCCCTCCTCTGTGGGGCTTCTTTGCTGCAACATGAGCCCATGTCCTGGGAGACGTGTCACAGCTGAAGTGTGTTCTTTGGTGCCAGGTGACTCTGCCAGATGCCAGTGTCACCGGATTTCCTTCTGTCCCTTTATGAAGTGACCTTTAAGTACTGCTCATCAGATACGGACAGCTTTTTGGCTCTTACTCTGCACTTTCTGTCTGCATCTCGCCCAGTTTCTTAAAATTTCTTCATGACAACTTGAACAGCACATCTTGTAAATCCAGTTGGGTGGGCTATTACTCACTAACTATAGCCTCGTTGGTGTAAAACATAGTTTTATGTCTGTTAAAGTATGTCAGCTCAGCCATTTCAAAACTACTCCAAAAGTCGCCCCAGTGTTTTGCAGTTACCATGCAACATCCAGTTTTTACCTCAATTTATAGCACATTTATTCCCCAGGAAGTTAATTGACTAAGTTTGGGATCTGAAGCGGTGTTCCTCTAGCCATCCAACAGGATAGAATTCTTGTTACCTTTTATTGTATTTCTGTTTATTTTTCAATGCCACATAGTGTTTTTTGAGCAGAATTATCCTTACTGCCCAGATAAGTAGTCCTAAGCATTTTTTTTGTCAGCCTTTGACTTCAGCACAGTGCTGTGCATCTTGGTGTGAGTCTCTCACTCCTAGGGGTACGTGTTAGTCCCTTAATGACACAAACTGGGACTTGGAGAAACTGAAAATAGGATCATGGAAATGGCAGGAAAACTCATTGGTCATGGGGGGGGGGGCAGGGGAGTTAAATTCCGTTTCCATCACACAACGTGTCAGTGTGTGTCTGAGTGTGTGAGTGCGTGTCTGTGTGTGTGCATGTGTGCGTGTAAGTTTGTGTGAGTGTGTGTGCGCATGTGCATGTACACTCTATTGAAGTAGCACCTTGTCCATCCTCTTCCTCGTGGCCTCTGCTTCCTCATCACGAGAATGTACTGGATGAGCAGTAATGCAAGGTGGATGGATGGAATGATCTAGGCAATTTGAATAATAATAATAGCCTGCTTTAAAGTCATCGTTCTATGGACAGTGTGGTTCACTGGGAAAATGTTACTTATGCGACAGTTCGTTTTGTTTTGAATTAGTTAATATTTGTGTCACAGAGTACTTTAGCAAGCTTCATTTTATACCACAAGCGTTTTAGACCTAAGTGAACATCACAGCATCCCCTGGCCTTTGTGGATTCAGAAAGAGGATAGTGAGTCTTCTTGGGGGATCTACAGTCTCTCTGGCTGTGGTGTCACTATTGGGGGGGGGGGGGCAGGCTGGAGGCTGTAGGCTGGAGTTCAGCATCAGCACTGATGCTCCCTTGTAATTCTTCTCGTCAGTCTTCTGGGCCGCTGCAGAGCCGACGATAGTGCAGCTGTCACGGCTCCTAATCATCGTCCTCCGTCTGTCAAACCTGCCTTAGTTTCTAGCCCTGCTTTTACTTGAAACAAACTTCACACAACCCAACTTTCAAAACTTTCTTGAAGGACGTCGTCAGATGCCATTCCAGAAATTTATGCTTTGCTGGAAGCTTTACCCAAACTGGCAGATTCAGCATATGGTGGCCCATGTCAGCCACATGGGTGTTAAACTTGAAGCAGTGTGTCATGCATATAACACTTGCAAAGCACGGCCCAGTCTGGCGTCAGGAGAATGGAGCTCACGCCAAGTGAAAACCATGCCTTCGTTCAAACTTGGCAATCCGTAGACAGCTAGGTCGTAAAGTGAGGAGTATCTGTAATACATATCCAACGTTGCAATGACCAAGAGAAGTGTTCAACATCTCAACATTTTAACATCTGTTTAGACTCTTCAAAACAGCGTCGATGACAGCGCTGCAGACTCTTGGCATTCTCTGAGCCAGCTTCTAGATGTAGCCACCTGGAATGCTTCTCCAACTGTCCTGAAGGGGTTTCCACAAGTTCTGGGCACCAGTTGGCTACCTTACTCTTACTCTCTGATCCAGCTCATCCCAAACCAGCACTATAGGGTTTAGGTTGGGGGGGGGGGTTTGTGGGAGCCAGGTCATCTTATGTTCACAAGTTAATATTTACTACATGTCATTCCAGGGCCCAAGGCTAGAAAGAACCAGGTTAACCTGGGCACCAGTTTGTCACAAAATATATATTAAAAATAATTTATAAAAATCTCTTTTTCGTGTTTTTTTTATTCTAAAAATTTCAAGTCAGTAGTTATGTAGTTGTCTTACAGCAGTCATTCAAAGGAGGCCATGCTTCACCCTGAAGTGAGATTGTGCTTCACTGGTGAAGGAGGGCAGCCGCTCACGTTCGTGTCTATGAGCATGAACACACCTGAGTGCGTGTTGACGCCTGCTGCGTGCGTGCGCTCTTGTGTGTCATGAAGAGAGAGCCTCAAGCCGTGATCACATGCAAAGCGAGAGACGGGCTTGCTTACATTAGCAGGCAAAAGATAGGTAAAAGACTGATGGATTACATTGTCATTCTGGTAGAAGCAGCCATTTATATTTAAAATGAAGTTTTTCCTTTTTTTGGACGTGGTAATGTTTGTTAATGTTCTGGTTGTCCCTATGATTTTTCTGATTTTATAATGAAGATGCTCTCCAGCCTTTCCAGAACATTTTTTGGTGGCTCTCCCCATGGAAAAACATGGCTGGAGTCGATTCTGGAAGGTTCCAGAATACAGTATTGGCTGTAGCAGCAGCCAGTCGTGGTTTAGCGCCAGCATTGGCTGGGACAGTCCCAGGGGATGCGCAAGGAGGAAGCATCTACGTAAACATCCGGCCTTGAGTTTTGGCTGTGGTTAGCGGTGGAGGGGTCCCACCATGACACGCTGTCCACACCATTTCCAGGACAGTCTGGAGTGTGTTGGCTGGCATCTAATCTGATAGAACTTAAGGGCACGACAGTCTGCTGTCTCCTTCCTCTGGTCCCCAACAGCAGATGGTACAATCGGGACAAGATAACTGAAAGGTTTCAGGTTCAAATCCCCTGTTGGGAGCTGCTTGTTATGCCACAGTAGTTAATTAATAGTGATCTGGCTGTCTAAATATACAAATTTGTAGGAACGAATAGGCAACATATCTTCCAGGAATGTAAACAGACCCCTGTGTTTCTCTGCAGGCATCGAGCAGTCCATTGAGCACGAGGAAGGCCTGAACAGGTCATCTGCAGACCTGCGGATACGCAAGACACAGGTGAGCAAAAGAGCGCAGAGCCTGATAGACTATTACCCCACCATAAATGCACCTTCTCTGGCTGAACATTTCGAAACACCACCAGAAATGTTTGGAGGCTGGACTGCAGCTTCTCCACCCAGAAGCCTGTGCAGTGTTCATGCCCCGGGCGTTTTAATTTTGTGGCAAAATTGGGTTAATAAGAACGGAGAATCCAGGTTTATCTCGTCTCATGCTTTTGATTAGATTTCATCCTGCTGTACAGTGTTAGTGGAAACTCAACGCAAGAAATACAACATTAAACATCAGCCTGCTTCTCGCTCTCCCTTGACTCGTTCTCTCTCTCTCTCTCTCTCTGTCTCCCCAGCATTCCACATTGTCCCGCAAGTTCGTGGAGGTGATGACGGAGTACAACGCCACCCAGTCGGACTACAGGGAGCGCTGCAAGGGGCGCATCCAGCGGCAGCTGGAGATCAGTGAGTCCGGCGACGCCGACCTTTAGACGCGTCTGCAGACGTAAAGGAGACGGACTGGAAGTGCTGCACCGCTGCTGTTAAATGCACTGACTGCGCCGCTTAGCCCTCTGGAGTAGCTGATGCAGTAAATAAATTGAAAGCTTTTTTATTAAAAACAAAGGGATTATTATAATTATTATTATTATTATTAAAATAGACAGATTGATCATTGATTTTGTTATGATGGTGGTGATGATGATGATGTTGATGATGAATCAAGGGACGAGTGTTATTGTACTTTATATTAAGAATTATATACAGAAACAAGAGATAAAAGAAGTGAAAACATGGGCATTTAGCCGGTAATAAGGCATAAAGAAGCTCTTGGGCTGATCTTTAACACGATCTGTAGACCTTGACCATAAGGGATCTGGCACATAGACACACAGATCTGATCACTGTGGCAGCACGTGTTGGAACGTGCACATGCAGAGCTGATCGGCTGCATGTGCCTGCTGGGTACAGAAAACAAGCAAGAGGAGCGAAAAAGCACTTCAGCACCTCCAGTTTGTGGCTGAAAACCTTCAGCTGCATCCTGCAATGGATTTAGTAGCTCAGTTGTCCGTTCCATGAGCAGAACGGCAGAACGGTGACTACGTCTTAGCATCTCCTTTGGGCGAGTCGTGTAAGCAGTGACAGCTTCTGGGCCGTGTTTATATGTTAGAAGTTTTTTGTTTCTGCCGCCGGTTGACTCATTACTAACTTCTCAAGAGCCGTGAATCCTTGCAAGCCTGCAAAACTGCTGTGAGCTCCTTCCATGCACGGCGGTAAATAACGGTTGTGCGAATCAGCAGGGGCTTCGCAGAGGCTGCGTGTTTGTGCGATGCCCAATCCGGTCGCCTCGGTAACAGTTGGCTCCCAGCAGCACAGTCTGCAGCGCAGTGGAATGTTGTTATAAATGTAGCTTCAGGCATCCAGATGGATTTCATTGTGTCAGGAACGCTTTCCTTGGTTGGTGTTGGTCCAGTTGACTGACCAGACATCAAGCCTTGTATAGGTCAAAAAAAAAACCTTAAAGAGGAAGGGTTTGGACCTTCAGTAATTAATCATGTCAACCAGTCTGTCGTGGTCCAAGGTTCTCACTCTGGCTGCCAAAGCTGAGGCTGAACAGACTGAGTCTTTGGGTGACCGTGACATCAGCCCAATGACTGTCAAAGGCGTATTCATACACAGGTCAATTTAATTCCCACCAGAGGAAATAGAGAAGCCAGTTAGGGTGTGTCAGTGTTTTCCAGCTTGTCGTAATATACTCAAATGTTTCTGCCACTGCATGGCAATTTTATGGTGTGGGAATCAGGATCACCAAAAATATAGTGGAAATTCGCAAAGGAAATATTTTTTTTTTCTTTTTCCATTTCATTTGTAATTACTTGCATGCGAATAATTTGATTTGGACCCGGCTGACGGAGCCGGTAGATGGACTCGATCTGTCGTTGGCAGGGCTATTAGGGAATGTCACGCAAGTACAGTAGCATGTGAGTGCCAGACAAGGTCTGATCTGTTCTCGTAATTCGTATGTGAACCATGAGGGTTCCGTCTCTCCACCGCTGGCCCCAAACGCGGAGAGGGCTGGCCGACAGGCGACCTGCAGCCATCTTCCCCAACTGGCAGCGGCTCTGCGGCCTGGGGAGGAAGACGTGGCTCGTTTCCTGCGGCCATCTGTCTCTCAGTGGGGCTTTTGGGCCCTAAACGATGCCCTGAGGCCCCGCCCCTTCCGCCTCTCCCGACCGGCTAGACGGCACGCCCCTAGACCAAACACGGTGCTTGACAAAAGCCGTAGCTTACAAAACACACATCCCACATTACTGTTTTCTGCCAGTTGATGCTGATTGATGGTTTTGTTTCCGCGAGCGGCGTTGCCGTGGCGTTGACATTAAACATTCATATCATCAAGCCGAGGAAGCTGCCTCACCAAGACTGGGTAGATAACGGGGATTGCCTTTTTTTTCCTGATGCCGTTAATGTGCGTCTGTGGCCTGATTTAGGGGATGAGGCTTCCAGTTAAATGGCAGCAGGCTCAGCCTGTTGGCACAGAGCAGCAGCTCACACCTGGCCAATCATCTTTCACAGGAGGCGGGAACTACGCACACATCATTCTTTAGGGTACACCCACCCTGCCTGCCTTGGCTGTGACGGCTCGTGTTAGTGTCAGCCTGCCGGCAGCTAGGTTAGCCACTCTCCTGACCCGCTAAGGTAGTGCGGTTAGTGGTTACCTTTGGAGGACGTCTTTAATCCTCCAGCATTCTGAAGGACCAGATGAAAGTAGGAAAGGCAGACATGATTAATCTATTGTCTATCCCCCCCCCACCCCCCAATTTGCATTCCTCTTTCCTTCTGACCTGGCTGTTCACAGACATTGCTCCCAGTGATTCCCCTTTACTGAGGGGGGAGGCTGCTGAGGGGGGGGGTTGAATTTTAGTTTGTTCTGTATCTATAATTTAAGTCATCCATAGAGACAGTGTTTTGAATTTAAGTGACAGGATAGTTTGCATTTAGTTAACCTGCGTAAGACATTTGGATTTCATTTTTAATACAGTTCTGAATATTAACTGCACCTTTGGTCACCGAGGGCCCCTGTACGGAAACGCGCAGTGATCCCGGCTGGGGAAGACGGGGCCCGGCAGTGCGGCGGGCAGACATGCTCCGGGGCTCCTCATGGCCGGGCTCTCGCTCCCTTGCTCACATCCTGTGAACCTGACATGTCTGCTGCAGGCCCAGAACTCCCAGTCCCCCAGTGTCTGATGCTAAAGGGCAGCCCCTTTGGGGGGGGGGGGGTGGGTGTCGGTGGCGAGGGGCCGTTAGCCGCCGAATCCACGTCCCTCAGCGTCTGCGCCACGACTCCATGTCTGCATCACGATCCTTCAGCTGCTCCTGACAGGCATCCGCTGCGCCCCCCCCCCCCCCCCCCCAACGTGCACAGGCGGTCACGAGGGTGCGTGCGCATGCCACAGTGATCTCACTTCTCATTAGGCTGCCATTTCGCTCCCAATTTCAATTTTTGTTTCAATTTTACTTTTGCTTCATATTTGAAATAAGCCTTGGATCTATAGGGGGGAGGGAAGTGTACTTTGGGGGGGGGGGGTGAAATCAGGTGACAGTGCCCACCAATCACGTGTGTCGGTTGTCCATTTTGTCTCTCACCCCACACTGAGCAGATAATGTATTCAGCCATTGTGTCGTGATTGTTAAGACCAAATCCGAATTTTTTTACTCTGCCTGTTTTTCTGCGGTTTGCTGCGGTTTAAATGGCTAATGGCAAGTCTTGGGGGGGGGGGGGTCGCGGCAAATTAATTTTGGGGGCGGTACAACATAATTGTATTCAGAATTTTCTCAAACATTGCCCCCCCCCCCCAAAAAAAATGGCTTTGGTTTATATACTATTTAAATTTTTGTTCTGTGGGCAATACTTTGGTGTGTTTGGTTTGTTTTTTGCTAAAGTTTTGTTTGGATTCTTAATCACCTTGTTATTGTCAATTTAGCTTTTCATTTCTGAAAAACAACACAGCTGCATCATCCTCCCGGTTTGAACCGGCACACGCTCTGGCACATGTCACACCTGATCAGCGGCGCCCGCACACGTGCCCGCGGCGTGCCCATGCTGTGCACACACACCTGTGCCTGCTGCTCCGTCCTTTAGCCCGAGCTCAAGGACGGGGCCGGGGCTCTGACGTCACCCGCGGGCCGTCCTCTCCGGGCGGACCACTGAATGAGGTCATCCTGGGATCCACAGACACCGATTTACTGATTTTTAGGGAAAAGAGACACACCTTCATCCATTGCACTTGTGACTAACCCTCGGTGTCTAATTTTGGCCGGGCTGGACGCGTTGTTCCAGACAGCAGTTGCAAGGTTCCTTGCTTGCTGACTCCTTTGGAGCCTTGGCAGCCACCCAGAGGGTGGGAAATCGCTGCCAGGTGCCATGTGATCACTCACACCCTCTGATGACGAATCGGATCCGCGACATGTGATCACTCACACCTTCTGAGGACGAATTGGATCTGCGACATGTGATCACTCACACCTTCTGAGGACGAATCGGATCCGCGACATGTGATCACTCGCACCTTCTGAGGACGAATCGGATCCGCGACGTGATCACTCACAGCATCTGATGACGAATCGGATCCGCGACATGTGATCACTCACACCTGAGGACGAATCGGATCCTCGACATGTGATCACTCACACCTTCTGAGGACGAATCAGATCCGCGATTGTAATGGGCAACAGCTACAAAGTGTCCTCTGCTGGCTTCTATGTTCTTGTCCGTTTTGGGCCTGCAGGATTGAATATGTTTGATTGGTGTGTCAGGGTAAGAATCGGCACCCGAGCTCAACTAGCTGTCAGGGTAACTTAATGCCTCTCAGTCCACTCTGACAGGGACGCAAACCCTGCAGTCAAAAAAGTCGAGAAAGAGACTAAGTGGTGCAGGGACAAGCGGTGGCCTGGAGCTCCATGACGTGGCCTCCGAAAAACTGCCTGTTGTCATATTTCATTCCACAAACTCTAATTAATGCAGCCAATCATGCAGCTGGGTCAGAAAGCAACAGACGAGCCATGCTGTCATGTAAAGGCGGAATCACCGTAACTGCATATTTTATCGGTATGAAATCAAAATTTGGTCTTTTAGGCTCTGTTTTATCTTGTGATAAAATATTTTAGTTTAACTATGCTTGGGCTTGAAGAAAACACTATAATTTACCTGCCTACTGCACATACAGGTGGACAGTCGAAAACTTTGATGCCCTCTTTCTGAGTTTTGGTATTTCGCCTTTGAAGGACAGTACATACAGTAGCTGTTAACTGAGCAGAAATAAACTTGTGAGGAAGCACATGCAGCTAGGGGTAGCACACGGGCGAAAGCTTCAATGCTGACATATGCCAGAAGGTAGAGACTATAGTGCATGACTAGTCTACGCATTCAGATGCTTTCATTTGAAATGTGATGCTTAGCTAATCTG